AAGAGTTTTCAGATAGAAGCAGAAGAGAGCACATGTAGCTGAAAGAGGGTGCCCTGAGCTCATCGAAAAGAGTGCTGGAGTATGAGGAAGAGAGTGGCCGGCTAACAGGGAGGGAACGAGTAACTCAACAAAGTGGCCGGCTAACAGGGAGTGGACGAGTAAATCAACAAAGTGGCCTGTTGGTACAAATAGTTTCCATGTAGCAGGGATGATTGATCTAGAAGCTAATAAAGAGAGTGCCGGTAGAAAAAGAGAATGCCCGGCTAGCATAGAATGTCTGGATAGCAGGAAGAGTGTGTCTGAGTGGCAGAAAGAGAGTCTCCAAGTACTAGGAAGAGAGTGTCTGAGTAGCAGGAAAAGAGTGTCCGGGTAGCGGGTAACAGAAAGAGTGTGCCCGGGTAACAGAAAGAGTGTGCCCGGGTAACAGAAAGAGTGTGCCCTGGTAACAGGAAGAGTGTGCCCCGGTAACAGGAAGAGAGTATCCGGGTAACAGGAAGAGTGTGTCCAGGTAACAGGAAGAGTGTGCCCCGGTAACAGTCCTGGGTAATAGGAAAAGAGTGTCCGGGTATCGGGAAGAGGTAACAGAAGTAGGACAAGTGTGTCCAGGTAACAGGAAGAAGAAGAGTATCCTGGTAACAGGAAGAGTGTGCCCGGGTAACAGGAAGAGTGTGCCCGGGTAACAGGAAGAGTGTGCCCGGGTAACAGGAAGAGTGTGCCCCGGTAACAGGAAGAGAGTATCCGGGTAACAGGAAGAGTGTGTCCAGGTAACAGGAATAGGGTGTCTGGGTAGTGGGAAAAGAGTGTCCGGGTATCAGAAAGAGGGTTCGGGTGGCAGGAAGAGAGTGTCTGGGTAGCAGGAAGAGAGTGTCTGGGTAGCAGGAAGAGAGTGTCTGGGTAGCAGGAAGAGAGTATCTGGGTAGCAGGGAGAGTGTGTCCAGGTAACAAAAAAATAGTGTCCAGGTAACAAGAAGATAGTGTCCAGGTAACGGGAAGAGAGTGTCCTGACAGAGGGAAGAATGTGCCCGCGGAGCGGGAAGAGATAGTGTGGGTAGCGAGAAGTGATTGGCATAGGTAACAGGAAGAGTGGGAGCAGGAAGATAATGTCCAGTAGCCTGAGTATCCTAGAAGTATCTTTAGTGGCTACTGTAGCTTGTTTTAAAGTAGTTGTTGTAGAATCAGTACTATAAACTGTAACAAAAAACCCTCGGCGCAGAGCTGCAAAAAGAAGAATCCGAGAAGAAAGGAGCCATGTCACCCCACTGTGATCCAACATTGGTGGCGTTCGTGGTAAATTACATTTCGCACATCAGATTAAGGTATGTGATCGCCTCTGCCTGCTGAAACTCCTAGAGAAGAAGTCAGATAATCTGGCATGAAAACATATAATGTTTACCTAACCGATAAAATCAGTGGGTAGTCGCATGGGAATTGAACCACGTTTGCTCACCTCAGGGGGTAGCAATGCAACCGCCGTATCATCCACTCACCTGTGGTAATTTTGTTGTCAGTAATTATGAACATTTACGTGCCTTGCTGAAAGAAGACTACCCGTGGATTATGTAAACATTATCAGAGCAGAGGGGGGAATATGACAAATCCTATGTAGTTAATATTTTATACTGTTTTCTCCCCCAATCCGATTCGGTTTTTTTTTTTTTATGTGGCGCTTAAACTCAAGTGTTTGCTTTTCAAATTGGCTATAGTATAATCTGCCCAAGTCGTTTTTGGTTCTCATGCACGTTTGAAAACCCCACCACGGTTCTCCCCTTGCCTCTACATCCCTTTCTCCGTCCCCTTCCACAGCGTGACACCTTCTCCAACGTACAGCCCTCAATTTCTTGCTCGGTGTTTAATCATTTGAGTTGCTTTCAAGCCGAACCTCTCACTGGAGCCTTTCGTGGAGAACCTAGGCTCTCATTAGAACTCTTCTCCCCGTGGTAGAGCCTCGTCGATTGGATTCCTAAATCCCGTTTTGTCGTCGAGTTGCCAGAAAAGAATAAGGACCCCACCCTGGGTGGGGATCTGCGGTGTTTTCAATGACACGGGCTCCCCGCTGAGCCTAATTTGTATCTAATTACGTTTTTTAGCCATAGCTCACTCCTTGAGTTCTGCCCGCAAAATAGAAATACCGATTTCTGTATTCACTTTTGAGTGTTTTTGAAGGGGGTGGAGGGGAGCTGAGGTAATTACTTTCACGAGGAATTTCCATACAGCGTGGAGATGAAGCGCCATCTCCACGCTAAGTTGGGGTTTCAAATAAATGTCAATTTTGCTTGACTTTCTGCCATTTTAAAATAAAACAAATTTTTTTTTTGAAAGAGAGAAAAACAAGATAAAAATACGTCTACACATACAGCTTCTTTTTCGTCTCCTCACCCTATTCCCTCTTTATCTCTTAATTGCACACGTTGCCTTCTCATACTCTCTCGCGTCTCGTTCAGTTTAGTTCAGTATGTAAAAAACAAATTCTAGACTTGCTTCTCGTTCTACCGGCTAAACGTGCTGTTATATTGAGGAGTGTTTTTGTATTCATATTATTTGTGGTTACTGTCTCGCTCGCTCCCTGTTTCCTAAATACTCTTTCCTACACCCATTCTTTCTCTTTTTCTCTTTATTATGTCACTCATACTGCCCCCTTCTCTCTCTTTCTCTTCCTTTCATCTACATGAACACTTATATTGCTCTATTGTACATTTTTGCTGATGAAAGCTGTTTAGACAAAACGCTAGTATGTATAATTATCTATGTAAAGCTAATCTTTATTGCTTTGCAGTGTCGTAATCTTTGATTCGGTAATAGGAGATTATCGGGAGATTTCTCCCAGGATCCCACTATTGTTGACACACAATATCCTAGCTCTTTCACAGACGCTCAAGGAAAGGAGTCACATCAGCTCGTAAATCACAGAGATATGTCCCGTCCTTTATGGGCGGATATGAATAACTGCGAATTACCATCCTTCATCGTTGCATAATGTCATCGCCTCTAGTTTTTGAATATTGTCGTTTTCCCGTATTTTCATTTCCCATTTCTGGATGTTCTCATTTCTCGTCTCTCATTATCTTCTCTAGATATTACGTTTTCCTGTCTCCGGTGTCTCATCTGAATGATTTTAGCTTCTGATTCTTAGCTCTGAATAGTTATATTAGATCGCCTGTTAATAGTGTATCTGAACTCCCTGCGGGTGTTCCCGGAGGATTGGGAGGGGAGGGTGGCACGAAAATAAATAGTTCCACAGCCCATTAATATGAATGTCGTAAAATGCGACTGTTTAAAGGTTTACTGAGAGTAGATGTGTTGGACAGAGGCTGCAGAGACGGCAGCTAAGTTGTAAACAACAACACAACTTGACAACTATATTTTTAACGGTGAACACGGAAGAAGAAATAGATAAAGAAAATGAAAACGAAGAGGAGGAGGAGAATAAAAGGAAGAAGAAGAAGAAGAAAAAGAAAAAGAAGAAGGACGAACGAATGAACGAACGAGTGAACAAACAAACTTTTTTTCCACAGGGTCACAAATTAGGCACGCAAGCCGTCTTACATTCGGCCTTTCCAAACACCTATTTTTTTGCACAGCAGTTGTATTTTATCAATAAAACATGTTATGATCATTTAATAATATACATATTATAAATATCAAGTCAAAAACAAAAGCATGAATGGGAAACTGCATGCACACGCTCGCACCCGCACGCACATACACTCGCAAACCCGTTCATTCACTTTTACCTACACATAGGCACCCACAAATACACACAGATACACATTCAAACACATACACGCACCCGCAAATACACAAACACAGACAGACACGCACACTGACACGCACACAGACACACACAAACACGCATACTGACACACAAATACTAATACAAACACGCATATAGAGACACACCCACAGACACAGCAACACAGGCATACACACACACAGAGACATGCACACAGAGAGACACAGACACACACACACACATAGACACCCACGCGAACACCATACAGACTTACACGCAGACAAACTCACAGGTACACGCCCACACACACATAGACAAACACACACGCACACAGACACACAAAGACATACACACATACTTATAAAATTACCCATATATACACCGGAGGTGCTGGGATTGGTAAGGGGCTGAGGTCAGTAGCTATACACATTTTCTAAGACGGCAGCGGGGAAACGAAAAGGATGGGGGGGGGGGGGGGGCAGGGGTGGAACGATAAAAGACAGTAAAGCGCATATTCCTAATAATAATAATAATAATAATAATAATAATAATAATAATATAATAATAATAATCCTAAGCGTGAAATACATAATAATAGGACTGACAAAATATAATAAAGTATCTTAAATCAAATGTGTTAACAAATATTTGAAATTCGAGATGTACAATAAGTAAACATTGACCGGTACTGAGAAGAGAAACATTTTACACTGTCTAATGACACAAAACTGGACAAGGTTACATTTTCAAAACATTAGTATATCTGAAGATGTCATCTAATGACGTGATGCCGCCGGCCGCTTCTCACAAGACCTAGTTAGACATAACGCAGAAAGCTTTACGAAAAGAAGACAATACATCGTGACACCCCTGTGACGTAGACTAGCCTGAGCAAGCATGAATGAAAGATCAATTAATGGCCAGTTGGACCAGACTTCCGAAAAATGAACCATTCAGAGTTTCAGACAAAACATTTAGAGTGTCTTATGAACCATTGAGAGTATCAGACAAAACATTCAGAGTATCTTATGAAACATTCAGAGTATCAGACAAAACATTCAGAGTGTCTTATGAACCATTCAGAGTATCAGACAAAACATTCAGAGTATCAAATAAAATATTTAGAGACAATTGGATCAAACATTCGGATTATCAAACATTTGGAGCATAAGATAAAACATTCAGTGTCAAATAAAACTGTCAGAGTATCAGATAAAACGTTTAGTATATCAGATGAAGTCTTCGGTGTATCAGATCAAACATTCATGGTATGAGATCAAACATTCCTGGTGTCAGATCAAACATTCCTGGTATCAGATCAAACATTCCTGGTATCAGATCAAACATTCCTGGTCTCAGATCAAACATTCCTGGTATCAGATCAAACATTCCTGGTATCAGATCAAACATTCCTGGTATCAGATCAAACATTCTATCAGATCAAACATTCCTGGTATCAGATCAAACATTCCTGGTATCAGATCAAACATTCCTGGTCTCAGATCAAACATTCTATCAGATCAAACATTCCTGGTATCAGATCAAACATTCATGGCATCAGATCAAACATTCCTGGTATCAGATCAAACATTCCTGGTATCAGATCAAACATTCCTGGTATCAGATCAAACAATCATGGTATCAGATCAAACATTTCTGGTATCAGATCAAACATTCCTGGTATCAGATCAAACATTCTTGGTATCAGATCAAACATTCTTGGTATCAGAGCAAACATTCCTGATATCAGATCAAACAATCCTGATATCAGATCAAACATTTCTGACATCAGATCAAACAATTCTGATATCAGATTAAACATTGATGGTATCAGATTAAACATTGATGGTATCAGATTAAACATTGATGGTATCAGATTAAACATTGATGGTACCAGATTAAACATTCCTGGTATCAGATCAAACATTCCTGGTATCAGATCAAACATTGATGGTACCAGATTAAACATTCCTGGTATCAGATCAAACATTCCTGGTATCAGATCAAACATTCATGGTATCAGATCAAACATTCCCGGTATCAGCAAAGACTATCAGCTATAACATTTAGAGACGATTAGATTAACTTCTTCTTCTCCTTCGTATTCTGCTTCTTGTCCTACTCTTCTTGTCTTCTTCTTGTTGTCTTCTTCTTGTTGTCTTCTTCTTCATCTTTTGGTCTTCTTCATCTTTTCTTTTTTGATTCTACTTTATTTTCCGTGTGCTCGTACCCTGCAGATTAGTAATTCCATCATGTCATTTATTCGTTTCATTATGTGCACTCTTGTAGTTTTAGTCATTGTCTTGATGATGATAATGGTGGTGGTGGCAGTGGCGGCGGTGTTGGTGTTGGTGGTGGTAATTGGTGGTGGACTTTGGTGGTGGTGATTGGTAGTGGTAATTGGTGGTGGACATTGGTGGTGGTGATTGGTGGTGGACATTGGTGGTGGTAATTGGTGGTGGTAATTGGTGGTGGACATTGGTGGTGGTAATTGGTGGTGGACATTGGTGGTGGTAATTGGTGGTGGTCATTGGTGGTGGTAATTGGTGGTGGTTTTTGATGGTGGACATTGGTGGTGGTAATTGGTGGTGGACATTGGTGGTGGTAATTGGTGGTGGACATTGGTGGTGGACATTGGTTGGTGGTGGTGGTACATTGTGTGTGGTAATTGGTGATGGTAATTGGTGGTGGAAATTGGTGGTGGACATTGGTGGTGGACATTGGTGGTGGTGATTGGTGGTGGACATTGGTGGTGGACATTGGTGGTGGACATTGGTGGTGGACATTGGTAGTGGTGATTGGTGGTGGTGATTGGTGGTGGTGATTGGTGGTGGACATTGGTGGTGGTGATTGGTGGTGGTAATTGGTGGTGGTGATTGGTGGTTGACATTGGTGGTGGACATTGGTGGTGGTGATTGGTGGTGGTGATTGGTGGTGGACATTGGTGGTGGACATTGGTGGTGGACATTGGTGGTGGACATTGGTGGTGGTGATTGGTGGTGGTCATTGGTGGTGGACATTGGTGGTGGTGTTTGGTGGTGGACATTGGTGGTGGTGTTTGGTGGTGGACATTAGTGGTGGTGTTTGGTGGTGGACATTGGTGGTGGACATTGGTGGACATTGGTGGTGGACATTGGTGGTGGACATTGGTGGTGGACATTGGTGGTGGACATTGGTGGTGGACATTGGTGGTGGACATTGGTGGTGGACATTGGTGGACATTGGTGGTGGACATTGGTGGTGGACATTGGTGGTGGACATTGGTGGTGGTGTTTGGTGGTGGACATTGGTGGTGGACATTGGTGGTGGATATTGGTGGTGGTGATTGGTGGTGGACATTGGTGGTGGTGATTGGTGGTGGACATTGGTGATGGTGTTTAGTGGTGGACATTGGTGGTGGACATTGGTGGTGGACATTGGTGGTGGACATTGGTGGTGGACATTGGTGGTGGACATTGGTGGTGGACATTGGTGGTGGTGATTGGTGGTGGACATTGGTGTTGGTGATTGGTGGTGGTGATTGGTGGTGGTGATTGGTGGTGGTGATTGGTGGTGGTGATTGGTGGTGGACATTGGTGGTGGTGATTGGTGGTGGACATTGGTGGTGGACATTGGTGGTGGTGATTTGGTGGTGGTGATTGGTGATCGGTGGTGGTGATTGGTGTTTGGTGATAACAATACTAAGGTGTTGAACAGCAAATAATTAAAACAAAATGGTTGGAACAATATTAAAAGAGTAAGCAAATGTCTTTACATAGAATTACAACACATAGTTAGAAGAGGTCTCTTGGTCGCCTTATGCATTTATTGAGAGGGCTCTCAACGCTCCTCACGCAATATGAGTGCGAAGCTGAAGAGGCTTGAGCGCTGCCATTTTTGTAGGTGTGGGTGGGGGTGGAGGTGAGGCCACATCTGGCACCCCCTCCTCTCATGTGTTGCCTTCATTTTGGAGACTCCGTAGCTTAAACTGACCTTTCGCCAAAGGAAGATAATTTATTGTTTTGTTGATTTATTGTCGGTGTTTTATCTTCCATCTATATTATTTTGTATATTTCAGGGCATTGATTTTATAGTCTCCTAATATGGTATTATCATCTCAAAATACTGAGCATCGTTTTTTTACATTGCGGTGTCACATCTGATTGTTTTGTTTTATCTTTTGAGAGTATTGCGTTGTCCTCCCTAAATAATGTATTTTATTTTTTTCTGCCTTTCTAACCCCCAGTAGAGCATAGGCCCTCAACCAACTCGAGCCAAGTTGTTCTGTCTTCTGCCTTTCTAACCCCCAGTAGAGCATAGGCCCTCAACCAACTCGAGCCAAGTCGTTCTGTCTTTTTGCTATCACATGTAGCTCACCCCAAGTCCTCTTCGTCGTTTTAACTTCTCTGTCTAGCTCCCTGCTCCATGTTTTTTTTTTTTTTTCTTGCTGTATTTCTTTACCCCTGTGGCGAATTTGTGTGTGTTATTCTCCCTATATTATCCTTCCTGTGTATGTTTTGTTATCCTCCCGGAGTATTATGTTTCAAGTCTGAATGTATTGTTTTGTCGTCTCTGAATGTTATTATCCTGTTTGTTATACTCTTAAGATATTATCTGCCCTGATTTATACACTTCTCCAGTTAAGGTTGACTGAGAACAGTTCATAGTAAATCATTTCTTAGCAAACCTCTTTGGTCGCATGGATTTCTTTAGTTCCCACCACAATCTTTGCAATTTAAGATTGTACCCATTCTCGTAATGTGCAGACAAGCAAGGACTATTCGTAGTTTATCGCTTATGCTTTATCGTTATTTAATCCATTTTTTGTTTCAGTTATTAACACATCACTAAATGTTCGACGCTAATGTCTGCATTTAAATAAACCAGATCTGTAGAATGGGTTCTTTTTTAATATCATACTCCAGATGACGTCACGTGACAGTCCAACATTTTAGAGGGTGGTAAGACTGGGTTTCCCGGCTTTCTGATGCTTTTAACGACCCCAAACATCTAGAACTGGCCCTAACCCTAACCCACCTACGTCCAACAAGAGAGTGCAGCCTTGGTCCCACGACCGCATGCAGCCTAGGCTCCACAAATGCATGCAGCCTATCTATCACCCCCTGAAATATTAGACTGTCCCGTGACCTGTTGATTTTTCCTGTTTGGGGTAGGATATTAAAAAAGCACTGTTAAACGTATGTGCACACAGAACCCAAGTTCTGGAACACGAACAAAAGTCAAGAAGTAGGTGAATAACTAAAACTTTCTACGGGAGTTTACAACCGACCGAACGCTCAGAAGAAGAAAAGTTTTAAGCCACTGCCGTTCTCTTGTAAGACGAGTGTCTGTCTCTTTTGCTCATTTAGCCCCCTTCCATTCGGCGCTCCTTCTTAAAGGGTTACTTGCCTCTAAAGAAGTAGTCGCCCAAAGTACGAACCACGTAGCTCCCATGACCATCTCCACATATCTCTGTCGCAGACGCAGTCCGGGAAACAAACCCACGAGCTCCCGAACCCCAGGAAAACGACCTAACCACACAGAGACCCGTACCACCAGGCCTGTTCAACCCAGTTACCTACCCGCTTCCCCCTGCCATCAATCTTTGAATGTCTCCATCAGCGGGTACGCACTGTTGCGGAAAGATCCTAGTGGAGTGTAGAGATCTAGCAGATTACAGAGCTGGAACCAGTAGAGTCCCCCCGCCGGTGTACCAGCTCTACCGGCTGTCATATTCCCGGCCTTTTGTTCTCACGTTGAACGTTGACATTGGATACCCCCGGCCAGGCCGCCCGACTTTATGAATAAGTTCCCTGGCAATAATCCGAACTTATTCCGTCCCACTGAACAATTTATGTCGGTGGCCGTGTTTTCCGGAAAGACAGTATTGTAGTTGGTTGTTATTGTGTTGTTGAAATGACTGCTGTTTTCTGTTTAATGCCAAATGCGCATTATCTTGGCTTGTGCTTTGGTATGTTTGTTTTGTGGCATAATTTATATGCAGTCATTTTTTTTTTTAAATTGATGTTTCATTTTAATGTTATTGAATTGATTGTGCTGTCAATCATTTAGATTTGGCTACATCTGGAATTGTTCTGGTACTGAGTCTCTGAGGCGAAGATCGGCCTGTCGAACACTTGGGGACAAAGGGTTCTCACTCCGTCGTGGATTAAAAAAAGTCTTAACCTGCACAGTCCATGGCGACAGCACTAGCCATGCAGCCTCCTTAGGCTCAAAGACAATCCTGCCTACACTCAACGGTTATAAATACTGCTACTGCTACTCCTGCTGCTGCTACTGCTGCTGCGACTACTGCTGCTGCTACTACTGCTGCTGCTACTGCTACTAATGCTGCTACTACTCCTACTACTGCTTCTACTGCTTCTACTGCTACTACTGCTACTACTGCTGCTGCTACTGCTGTTACTACTCCTACTACTGTTCTACTGCTTCTACTGCTGCTACTGCTACTACTGCTGCTACTGCTACTACTACTGCTGCTACAGCTGCTGCTACTGCTACTACTACTGCTGCTACTGCTTCTACTGCTGCTGCTACTGCCACTACTGCTGCTGCTACTACTGCTGCTACTGCTACTACTACTGCTGCTACAGCTGCTGCTACTGCTACTACTACTGCTGCTACTGCTTCTACTGCTGCTACTGCTTCTACTGCTTCTACTGCTGCTACTGCTACTACTACTGCTGCTACTGTCACTATTGCTGCTGCTACTGTCACTATTGCTGCTGCTACTGTCACTACTGCTGCTGCTGCTACTACTGCTACTACTACTACTACTACTACTACTACTACTACTACTACTACTACTACTACTACTACTACTACTACTACTACTACTACTTACTTCAACTACTACAACAATTACTTCTACTACTGCTGCTATTGCCACTACTACTGCTGCTGCTACTATAATTTGTGTCGCCGTCGGCTGTGACTCTATGCCTCCCAATAACACAACGGAAGACTGTCGCCTGGAAAGACGGAAGGTGCCATCATTAGTCTAATATCTGATAACGTGACAGATTCAACCTGAGCGGCTGTAGTGTCCTAGGTAAACGACTACATGCCAGCCGGAAGGTCGTTAGTTTAAATCCGTATTTGGACTTTAAGAAATTTTTTTTTTTCTTTCTTTAAATGAACATGATTAAGTTCCAAGGCTAGAGAGCCTAAAATATACCCTGAAAAATATAAAAAGTGAAATGTTGACTACATTGCCGACTAGTGTGTAAAAAATGTGGTTCTAGCATTGTTGAATATTGATTCCTTCAGGACTAATAACGCTAAAACTAAGGATTGAAGGATTTTTTAATGAGTAGCAGTTGGTTTGATCACCAGAGAAGGATTTAATAGCCATAACTGAGATATAGTTTACGCCTTGGTGGTCAGAACGGTTGGCGTGGAGGGAAACAAGCTTGAGAATGTCAGCAAGATGTTCACGGAAGCGATCTGCTAGCTTCCTACCGGTTTCCCTAATGATCAAAGCAGCCTCTACTCATTAGAAAATAGTTGTATCCATAGTTCTTAGTCCTGGCAGCTCAATGTTCAACACAGCTTAATTTAACTTAATTTTAATTTAATTACTTGTTAATTTTTTTTTGAAAACTTATTTATATTTCTTCCCCTTCTTATTTTGTTTTGTATTATAGCTTTCATATTCGTACTTTCCCTCTATTACGTACTTCTTTGTTTCATGCTGACCTTGATTTTTATTAGCTCTGTTGTCTAACCCGTTGAGTTTTCTAGTCAGTTTTTGTTATTTTTAAAAACTCCGTCGATAAAGACTTTGGTCGGAACGGTTCATTCTGTTTGTGTGTGTCTTTTTTATCACCCCTTGAGCTTTCTAGTCACATTTTGTGTTACATTAACCGCACGTGAGAAGTGCAGAGATTTACTAGAAAGGAAGTGTTTACAACCTACACTATAGATATTTGCCTATGGGAGACGAGGCATCAGTGGGTATGTCGCGTGAGCTCTGACGTTGATTATTTAAACAGTAATTAATAATAAAATGATGGTCCCC